ACATTTCAGCGGCAAGACAAGCTTCAGATTACATTATCATCGCAGTTGACATCGGTATAACGAACGCACAATGAAGTGCCTCACGAGTGAATTAATTCGCTTTAAAGGGAGCTTGCTATTGGATTATAGTCACTACTATTGCAGAACTGGAATCATGTCTGCGACGACTGGAGGGTCGGATATCTCGGATTTGAATAGCTCTTATGTGTTGTGAGTCTTCATTCCATCTCAACGTGATGATCATGGAGATTGGGGGTTTTCATGTTTTCGCTCTTCGCTGACATACTTTTGAAGCAACGGCTACATATATTTGGTTTTTTCCTCAATCAGTAAGTCGTCTCGATTATGATGACGAAATTTAAATTTGCAGGTTCATACTGAATATATATGTACTAGCCCTTTTATTATACGACATAGCCCTGACTTTTGATCAAGAAGTCGAGTATATCTGGAAACGCAAGTTTAATCTCGCATCGTACGTATTCATACTGAATCGTTACCTTGGTGCGCTTGGTGCTTGTATGGGGATACTGGTAAATTCAGTATTACATGGTAGCGACATCGTAGGTTATCATGCTACTTTCGTTTTCTTCTCACTCATGATTTATCGCTTTTATTTGGTGTCGGGAGTAGAAGTTAGTCACATTGCTACTTGTAATCCTCTTGACTTTTTTTTTCTGATTTTAAGTTTCTACTATCTACTAGTTGTATCGTCGCGAATGACGTTTGGCTCATCATGAATGTGTTGACTTTGATCACAACTTACGGTATGGATGTTCCTCGACGTCACGAACATTAGTAGAGAAAGCATGCTAATTTGAACCATTTGTTCCATGTCAGTGTTCTTTATAATTCGAATATGGGCGATATGGAATTGGTTCACTCTAATCATGCTTATACCTCCTGCGATAAGTTGCTTCGCAGCATTCACGGTCTGTCATCGTCCGCATCCTCAATATTGGTGAGGTCGATCTCATGATAGTCTTTGCATCAGGGTCTCTTGGCCATGACCCGATTTTCGTTTGTTACCGAGGATGCTATCATGATATATGGAGGATGTCACTGGTGGTGGAATGGTACAGAAGCCACTCTAAAAAGGTACGAGTCAACACTATTCTGTTTCATGCTTCCATTAATATCTGGCAGCTGTGCGTAGGTTTATCTTGTTTCAAAACATACAAATATCCTCGGATTGCAGCTAATGTTAATCAATTTTGAAAAGTGGCCATTATTCTACAGATAACCACATTGTGGTCTGGCGCAATCGTGGTCGTTGCTACCTTTGCAAAGACATTCGGTACATGGAAGGCTGCTAAACAAGTTGGAATAAGAAGCCCTATTACAAGCTTAATAATTCGAGATGGTATGATTTCGGTGCCGTTTTTCGCATCCACGGTACTGAGATTTTTGAGATTTTTTTTATCTCAATATTAGGATCTATATACTCTCTGTAAGTTGGTTCTTGCGTTCTTATGGAAGACTGATACTTATCTCTTTTCCAGAGTTCTCTTCCTCTCGATCATTCCGGATATCGTGATTGACTTCCATAAGATGGTAAGCTCGGTGACCAACATGATTTTATGGTTACAAATTGAATTATGTTTCAGTTCGGCGTGAATGTTGTTGGAAGTTTGGGGTTAACGTGAGTAGTTTGATTATTCTTTTCGTCGCCATTATGTCCTTCCTCTTAACCTTCATCCGACTCTTTACTCCGATAGGTTTGCGACAATCTCCATTTCTAGATTTATTCTAGACCTTCGTTCTGCAGTGACTACTCCCACAGATGGAATTGAAAGCGGCTCATTACTGGATAGTGTGCGAGTTCAGACGATGGAATTTGCGAGGACAGTGAATGTTTGCTAGACTCCGGATTCATAGGAAAATTCTGCGTATATTGTCCAGGGATTGGGAGGCATCTCCATAGCTATACCCAATCAATCGTCAACGGTTTTCTTTCGAGAAGCGTTCATATCTCATTTGCAGGTCGATCTGGAGCAACTTTGAGACGGAGAATATTTGATGAATTGAAGCTCTCACTGTCACAGAGTACAGTCACTGGCACGACGTAATCTGTTCGGCAAGTGCCCGCTGAGTTTGAAACTAGCTCGCTGAGCCTCGCTCTCCAATCCTCGCAATCCTCCTTCAGACCTTCTCAACCTAAGTACTCCATCAATATTTAGACTATCTTCCCAAGTTCCGGGGTTCTGTGGAGGACACTGCGGATATTCCAATGTGAGTGGGTGTGTTGTAGTTCGCCCATCCTGATGTATTGACTACAAAAACGACAGGTTCATTTCACAAGCAATAACAAAACTCTCGCGAAGTTAACCGCATACATCTTTCAGAGACCCATAAACTTCAATTTTCGAGTGGGTTTATTTACCTGAACCTGTGGGTTATATCCAGAACTTCAAACATTTCACTCCATGCACACGCATTCGATCATCTCACTATGTAGTAGATGCGGCAACAGAGTTGCACTAGTACTGGTATGCGTTTGACATTTAACCACACGGGTCGGGACGACCTGGATCTTCCGATGATTTCTTCTTCCATACTATCTAGGATGGAATTGTGTCTTCCGTCTATAGAGGATGACCAGAGGGTGGCAAATGCGCCCGACGAAATGCGTAGATCCGATTTGAATAGCGGCTGGAAATGCCTAACAATGGCCGACTCGGAATTGTGGTGAAGCTACTTCAATATCGGGTCTCTCTCATAACTGCCCAAGAACTGCCACTCCTCGAGGCCCCTCTCTCTCCGTTATGGAAGGACAACTGCGTTCCTTCAATTTGCCGTATACCAGCTTACATCATTGTATAAATACTAGGAAGAACTCGCCTTACATCAAAGCTATTTTTTCCCGAACGAGTCAGCCACCCAGCAGAAATGTTTGCAACAGTCCCGATTGCGGATAGTTACTATATATTGTGGGTGTTTCCTATGCTCCCAGTGGGGATTTGTCAACTAAATTTCACCCTTCCCCTGCATATGTCTCAAGTAACGGCGAAATCAACTTGATTATCTCTTCTGCGAGTAAGTCGTCTTAGATAATGTTTGGTTCGATGCTGAGTTTTGTCGTTAGCACTTCTGATGTATGACGCAGCCATAACATTCGACATGGAAATCTGCTATATTTGGAGACGCAAGTTCAATCTCGCGTCGTATATCTTCGTTTTGAATCGTTATCTGGGCATTCTTGTCGCTGTGATGTCTATCTTGACCAATTTTACATCACAAGATAGTAATGTTGTAAGTTTTCTATATTCACTGCCTACAGCTGTCTCTGAACACCATGACTACTTAAATACGGGATGCGTCATTTAGAGGCAAGTATCTCGAACTGCTGATGTCGATTTAGAGATTAATTTGACTTTTGCGCGTGGGTGTATTTGCCAGTTGCCTTGCAGTTAATTATCTGTGGATATTAGCGAAGGGAATGACAATACTTATCACTTATGGTGCGTGTCAGTATATGAATGGCATAAGTCAATTCTACTTTGCTCATTTTGTTGACTCGTTTAACAGTGTTTTTCGTCATACGAATATGGGCAGTATGGAATTATTGTTGGTCCACCTTAGTTTTTCTTATACCTCCGGCATTAGTGTACGTGGTCACGGTCATGGTTTGTCTTTTTTCATATAATGTCTATGTTGGAGCCGTGGTACTGATTTTTGTGCAAATTACAGTATCTTTTGGTCATGACTCGGTTTGTCTTTATCCCTGGAAAGAACAACATTAGTATCTCGGGTGGCGGATGCGAGTGGAGTTGGCATGGGTCCAAATCTTCGCAAGGAGGGTACGTGATAGGGCTGCATTATTATATGGGCAGATTTTATTGATTTCTTCCTTTCACAGATGTGCGTAATCTGCTTAGTTCTTGGTGCAGTTGCTCATTTCTATCATTTCACAGTCATTCTCACTTTACAGATATCTATGCTGTGGGTTGGAATTCTTGTGATTACGGGTAGTCTTATCAAGACCTTTGGGACGTGGAGGGCTGCGAGAAAGGTAGGGATTAAAAGTCCTATCACAAGCCTCATAATCCGAGACGGTACGATGACAATTTATTAATATTCTGAGAAATGGATGAAGTACTAAAGTTTAACATCAGGATCTATTTATTCACTGTACGCCGATGTTCCTAAAAGGTCTCTCAGACAACCAGAGCTTACGCGATCTAATTTCTTATAATTTACAGAGTCATATGCATGTCGATCCTCGCAGATCTGGTACTTGACTTCAAACAAGCCGTGAGTTCTTCCCCTGTTCCATATATTCCATATATAATCAGCTTCTTACATTATAAAAATGTGCCAGTATGGGGTGGATGTCATTGGCAGTCTCGGTATGACGTGAGTAGCAGCCGTTCATCACTCAGCATCGTGGTGTTCTTAGACTTTCAAACTGACTTTATACGCGTCAGGTTCGCCACTATAGCCGTTTCTCGGTTTATCCTCGACCTTCGTTCTATGGACGATGCCGCTCCTTCAGATGAAGTTCGAGATATTTCATTCACATCAAGTCTAAGAGCTCAGACCATAGATTTTTCGAGGACTATCAACTTGTCCCAAATACGTGATTCGACTGAACATGATTCCGATAGCTTGGCGTAGCATTGCGGTAAGAGGACCAATTCTTTGATCGGAATATTAATGGCGGTGTCTCGAGCTTCTCATGTATTTCTCATTTTTCAAGATTCCTGATATGTGATCATGAGTTCTTTCCAACTGGAGCATTATGTAGACTACTGACATACTGCTAATCGAAGGTATGTATGTTGCATCTTTGGTGATACGAGATTTCGAGTAAGTTCTCTTGCTCATCTTCCGAACACAACTATCCTCGCCCTTCTCTCCTTGGGCTGATGTATCTCTTCTCCAATTCTCTCGACATCGTTACTAGTTCCACTAATTAATGTGAGTGAAAAGTGGACGCTCGACTTCCCGCCCGTCATCTTCATCGTCGTAATAACGGTTCTGGCAAATGCTTACAGCAAGACCCCATAGCTCAGTGGTAGAGCGTGTGATTCCAGCTTTACAGACTCCACAAGGTCATCCGTTCAATCCGGGTTGGGGTCAGCTTTATTTTTCTGCTATTTTTTTCTTCAAAATTTTCGCGAATTTAGGTGTTAACTTATGGGATTGCCAGTGGGAGATGCGCGCCTATTGCTTATGGTTCCTCGGCGCCTCAGACCGGGAGGTGTTTATTTTGTTGTCTTCTATGTGGTCATCATTGTGTACGATGTCCTTGCTGCATCGCCACCTTCTTTGTTTTCTCGACCTCGGGAACAACGCTCATTGTTTATTCATTTCCAGCTATACAATAGCAACAACATGAGATTTGGCCATCTTCTCTCCCGATGTATCCTCGTTTCTTCAAGCTTCAATTGTTAATGGCCTGTTTTGATGGACATATGGACTCATACGGACCAGTACTTTCATCGACATAGTCACCAACAAGGTACATATTGTCATCTGCAACGTTGTAAATTTCTCACTAATCTCTCATCCTCTGCACATTCTCATTCTGACATGGCTGCGCCACAATTTGTCAGGTCACCGTACTGCCCTTTCTCTAACCAATTCAGCACTCGTTGGTTAAATGCTCCTCTCGAGACTCTCGATTTTCGAGTCTTCCTCCATCGGCCGGCTGAGAGGGATCAGGGAGCTATCGAGGATGTGCATCGTCTGGTGGAACTTATTGTGGCGTTAGGCATAAGCACTTGGCCTACGAATCCAGTGAAAGTGAAACCTGGACTTGAAATCCTTTCTGATCGAAACCGACCTCCAACTCCTTTGGAACGTTATAAATATGCCTTTGTCGCAAAAGGGTGAGTTATGTTCATGGTAGTTTTGGTACTTCTCTCATCTTCCACACCTTCTGCAGATCCAAACTTGTAAAAGATGCGAAACCGAGAAGGAATGCCGCACCAGCCACCGATAAACTTCCTCATGTGAACGGAACTATTACGGTCACTTTCTTTGGACGTAGAAATCCAGATGATCCTGAACCGTGTGTTACATATAAATCCTCTCTCGATACCATCGCTGCCTATGTTAATAACGAAGCATGCGCTCGACGAGCTGCGTATTTGTCGACCTGTATGTACTCCATGGTCTTCCTCCTTGTTTTCTTTCATCTCACACATTGTTTCTCTCAGCGTTCGTATACATAACGAAGAACGATAAATTCGACCGAGTGGCGAAGGACGGAATCATTCCTTCCTCCGTTCATAGCATGAGACGCAATCGAATAAACTTCATAAGATGCCGGCAAGTTTGCGCAACGTCTTTCCATTATTTCGATATCCTTGATTCAAATTATCAAGGATTGTGTAATGGAGCAGCTGTGTTCGTGCAAGATTTTGGGTTCAAAGCGGATGTCGCGTCTCTGAGAAGTGGAACGCATGACCTATTACCAAGCAGCTCCAGATATCATAACTCCAATCTGAATAATCGTCAAGTCGAACAATGGAATGCGGAAATCAAGGCATCGCTTGCTTTTATTTCACAAATGTCCAAGTCCTGATACATCTGCATTTACTTAGCAATACTATTCGTCACTTAATCTTAATCGTAACATACTGTACCATCACTAATCCTGTACTCTTACTGTATCTTTACTATTTAGCTTTGTAGCTTTATGTTGAGTGTATGAACTAATATTCCCATAGATTCAGAATCATGAATAAAGTGACATGTAGGCATATGTATAATTACAAAATCCAATGAATGTAAACATAAATCTGTGTCTCCTGGCTCCAAAAAATTAATCGAGTTCATTTAGATTGTTGCGGCGGAAATGTCTGTATTGGAAAATTCAACCGCTTAACCAGAGAAAACATTAAGTCAACTGCGAAGCAACTCACAATGTAGCAGGGCCATGCGAGTAGGTAGATGGGAACTTGACAAATCTTGCTTCGAGATCCTCGAGGTCTCGCTTGTGGCCCTTAACGGTATTGTATAACTGCTTACCAGCCTTCCACGCGGATTTAGCATCGGCGAAGAAACCGCGAGCGTCCAGTTCCTCCAACTCCCTCAGTGTGAGATCACTAACGTCCCGGGTGAGCAAATCAGAGGACGTGTCGCTGCGAGCAACGAATTGGCTATCTTCACTCCTCTTGTGACCCTTGACCGTGTTATACAACTGCTTTCCGGCTTTCCAGGCAGACTTGGCATCAGCGAAGAAGCCACGAGCTTGAAGCTCTTCAAACTCCCTGAAGGAAAGATTGTTGACGTCTCGGATGAATAAGACATCCCGGGCGACGAGCTCGCTATCTTCACTGCGTTTGTGGCCCTTGACAGTATTGTACAATTGCTTTCCTGCCTTCCAAGCAGACTTGGCGTCGGCGAAAAATCCACGAGCATTGAGCTCTTCCAATTCCCTCATGGTGAGATCGCTGACATCCCTAGTAAGCAAGTCGGAAGGCTCACTCCGAGCAACGAATTGACTATCTTCGCTACGCTTGTGGCCTTTTACGGTGTTGTACAACTGCTTACCAGCCTTCCACGCAGACTTAGCGTCAGCGAAGAATCCACGAGCTTCCAGCTCCTCGATGTCTCTCATAGTGAGAGGCAGACCGTCGCGAGCCAAAAGGGTTTCGAAGAACTCGTCTCTCGCAACGAGCTCGCTATCCTCACTGCGCTTGTGACCCTTCACAGTGTTGTACAACTGCTTGCCTGCTTTCCATGCAGACTTGGCATCAGCGAAAAATCCGCGAGCCTCAAGCTCTTCGATATCCCTCAAAGTGAGGCTGTGATCATCTCGAGCAATCAAGTCTGAGGAAACCTCATCCCGAGCAACAAATTGGCTATCCTCACTGCGCTTATGACCCTTCACAGTGTTGTACAACTGTTTACCGGCCTTCCACGCCGATTTAGCATCAGCAAAGAAACCTCGAGCTTCAAGCTCATCGAGGTCGCGAAGAGTGAGATCATTGACATCGCGAGTCAACAGCTCTTCAATGTGATCGTTCCTTGCGACTAACTCGCTGTCGTCGCTACGTTTGCGGCCTTTAACAGTGTTGTAGAGTTGCTTGCCTGCTTTCCACGCAGATTTGGCATCAGCGAAAAAACCCCGGGCCATAGGCTCCTCGACTTCTCGTAAAGCTAAAATTGAGCCTTCAGAACGAGCCTCGATGCCACTGAATATGCCAGATTGGTAAGACGCAAAGAAAAGATAACGACGATATTTACGCACCTGATGGGATGTGCTGACACATTGGGCAAGCTTGCAGCAGCGACGGCAACGACAGTAACGGCAGTTGAGAAACGCATGATGATCGGTGTGAAGGGTGAGATGTTGGGATTACGGGGTCGTTTTACGGAGGATGGACTTATGGAAGAATAGAACGACGGTGAGATTAGACAGAGGCTGAAAGATATCATGTTAGCACTTGTCAGGATCGAGACAAAGCTTCGTAAGTGAGTACTCACCGACCAGCACCTATATGTAACAGTCAAAAGGAAATGGAGAGCTCAGCTGAGGAATTGAGGGTCTTGTTTCTGTCATATTTATACAAGGCAGGATCATTTCCAGCGTGTACTATGAACAGCTACTCTTCCAGCCAATCCCGGGAGGTAGTTGCATTGTGATGGTGAACATACTCCGACACGTACCATAATGCATTGACCTGCTCTCCTCTGAACAATGATTTCCCTTTCATCAGATGGACGAGCAGCTATGTCTGGAAAATGAAATATTAACCGCTGGAATGTCATCCAGGGTTCGACCCACCATGACAGTTTTTTGTTCTCATCAACCCCTTCAAGCAAGATCGGGTGAGAGAAGGCGCTGCCCAAACGCCGGTTGAAAGGCAGAACGGGTCAAAGGTGAAAAAAACAAACAGAAACCGAACAGATCAAAGAAAATCGGGAGAAGACTCTCTAAGTTGCTGAGATGGCCTGATTTCCGGGAATCGTCAAGTTACCTGAGAGCATCTTCAGATCGGTCTCCTATTGAGAGAGAAATTACCTGCATGATGGTCCTCTTGTGTCGATATTTCAACGTTCCCGATGAACTCGGATTTTGATGAGTCGGGGTAGTTCGGTAGATGTGGGTTAAGCTAATTGCGATCTCAACCTTGACACAAGGTGATAGCAATAACGTTCGAAACTGGACAGAAGGGCTGATAAATGGATAATAGTTTCATTTGTCTGTAACTTACCAGGTCTTCGGATGACATGAATGGCAAGTGTGAATGGGTTGAGAGATTTTCTAACATTAGGTATCACTAAAGGCAATGCCAATGAAGCGAAACGCATGCGCAACTAATCAAAATCTTGACGTCCATGATGCAGCGTGCAAGAGAGTTCGTCTTGCCAGTGAACTGAAGTAATGTGGCAACTGAGTTGTCCTCGTTGATATTCGAATTCACATATCCGACCTATGCATCACGATCTATCAGCATCATTGACGACCTTTGCGGGTGGTAGTCAGACCAACTCACGCTGGCACAGCGGGTCGTGATCTTGCACCACAAGGCATGTATCTGGTTTAACAAAAGAGAGAGAATGGATGCGAATGTGATGTGCGAGTAAGGAAGGAGGTCATGTTGGTCAGCTGAGTATGAGGGAAATGTTCAGTGACCAGCATGAACACACTACCCATGCGCACGTTATCACTTCATTTCGGGAGGTACCACGGTAAGGTGGTGGGGGTATCTGGACTCCTTTCAACCTCGGACACAAGTAGATACATGAGACGGAACAATCGTTGGGGATATGCGAGTCCGTTGAACATTTGACGCAACAACCTGCATAGCAGTAATTTCAGAAAGCGAGACAGAGTATCGAAAAGGAAGAAACGAGTTACCAAAAACACAGACCCGATTGATTATGTCGAATTCATGATGGAAATCCATGAAAAACTTCCGATATCAGATGGTGGCATCCTACTGAACGAGAGACTATTATAACCATCGAGGACAAAGTACGTTTGGGAGTAATGTTCTGGGTTTACTGACAAGATATCAACACTTACAGACAACGATGATTGATGGCAGCTTAGCCAGGGTCCCCAACTCGTAGGAGCATCATCCCAGTCCAATTTCAAGACGGTGAATTCCATGGAAGCCAAG